AACAAAGCGAGAATCTGTCTCAAAAATAGAGTATCATATCAGTCAGTGTTTGATCTGATAAGTAGAACCACTATGAATGATATAAAATAAGGGATTTATTATAGGATAAAGCTTTATGCAAATGTAGGAGCCAATGGAGACATCTATGCCAGGCTGTCACCTCTGCATCTGATGTTGGGTATTAAGTCTGTACAGTGAAGCTGGACCAGCCATTAGGAAGGAGAGCTGGTAGAGGACAGTAAGAATGAACCAAAAAGACAAACTGGGACAATTGGATATCCATTTGGAAGAAAAAAAAAGAATATTGATCCCTGTCTTACATCATACAGAATAGAACATACAAAATAAGATTAATTTGAATATATTATTGATCCAAATGGAAAAGGCTAAAGAATAAAACTCCTAGGAGGTAGTTTAGGGAAATAATAATATAATTGTGACCTCAGCACTAATGACTGAGGAAATGACTGATACATTGAATTACATTAAAATTCATAACTATTCACAATAAAATACCATTAAAAGAGTAGAAAAGCCAGCCACAGAGTGGGAGACATTTTTGACATGTATAATTGACAAAGAGCTTGTATTCAGAGATGGACAACCTAATATAAAAATGGGCATGACATTTGAATAGGAACCTAAAGAAAAAACATCCAAATGGCCAATAAACATTAGTCAACCTTGTTAGTCCCTAGGAAAATGCAAAATAAAACTCATAATGAAGGTGACTAAAATCCAAGACATCTTAAAATCTTAGATCCTTTTTTTTTCTTGACCTACTTGTAACCATGACAGTTGTGTTGAAATTTGCCACATCTGATGGTGTATTTATCAGTTCTTCCCTATAGTTCTAGCAATTTCTTTTTATTGAAGTGAAATTCATATGCCATAAAATTAACCATTTTAAAATGAACAATTCAGTGGCCATTAGTACATTCACAATTGTGCTACCACGGCTTCTGTCTAGTTCCAAAACATTTTCATCACCCGAAAAGGAAGCCCTATACCTACCCTATACCCATTAAGCAGTTACTCCCCATTTTCCTCTCCCCATCCATCTCTCCACATCTGCCCACCCAGCAATCTGCTTTCTGTCTCTATGGATTTACCTATTCTGGATATTTCTTACAAATGGAATCATACACTGTATGGCTTTTGTGTCTGGTTTCTTTTACTTAGCATAATGGGTTTTTTTTATTATTATTTGTTTGTTTTGAGACAGAGTCTCACTCTGTCACCGTAGGTAGAGTGCCATGGCATCATCATAGCTCACAGCAACCTCAAACTCCTGGGCTCAAGCAATCCTCCTGCCTCAGCCTCCCGAGTAGGTGGGACTACAGGAGTGTGCTGCCACACCCAGCTCTTATATTTCTGCTTGTTCTTTTTTATACTTTCTGGTTTCATATTGCTAATATCCTCTCTTCTCTTTTATAACATGTTTGCTAGGCTAGTTTTGAATTTTTGATCCATGCGTTCTAACAATTTTCCTGATGGATGTTTTCTGTGCTCCTTGAATGTCTTGATTTTTGCTTGTGAGGTTATTTTTCCTGTGAGGACTCTGATTGCACAGACTATGTGGTCAGTCAGTGGTATAGGGGAAGTTGTGTGCTAGCCTCAGAGTTCCCCAGCGTCCCCTCTAAGGTTGTCTGGTTGGGCCATAGTGGCCTATCTCTGCCACGCAGCACCTGATTCCATCTCAGAGACCACAGGGTGTGTGGGCCAGGGTGAGAGATACGGGGAACCTTTGCAGAGCATTAGGGAAGACCAAGAGGGCACCTGTTCATTCTTTATTGGAGAAACATGTTGGGGCCAGGTACCAGAGACACCAGGGTGACAAGACCAACAGGGTCCTGCCTTTGCAAAGTCCACAGTCTAGTGGGCGCGACAAACATTAATCGAAGGTTCCCACCAACACGTTTCTGCCTGCAATGGGTGCTATGAAGTGCAAAGGAAAAGTGCCCCAGGGGAACCCCAATCCAGGTCAGGTAGGGGGCAGGGTGGGTGGCAGGGCTGAGGAGTGTGGTGAATGAGGTGGGGAGAAGAGGCTAGAAAGATGCTCTGTCAGAGTGAACCGTGGGTGACTCCAGAAACTCCATGAGTCTGAGGAGGTGAAAGAGATTTGAAGGGCTGAGGCTGGGGAGGAGGATGACGAGGGATGCGCCTGGAGAGGTCGGCAGGGCCAGATTGAGCAAGGCCTCGTGGGCCAAGAGGACTAGGGCTTTCTCTTCAGAAGAGGTGGCTCTACGTGAGCAGGGGAGAGAGCAGGGAGTCCAGTAGGAAGGCTGCGACTGTGGGCGGCTGAAGGTGGCGTGAGGGGCGGGAGGACAGGTCGGCAGGAGGGGAGGGGTCAGATGGTGGTCAACTCGGGGGTCGTCCTGCCCGGCCCAGCGACTCTGCTTCCGCCCAGAGCGGGAGGATGGCTGGAGGCCGCAGCCAGAGCGCGCAGAGCCTGGGGTCGGTAGGTATCTCCCGACCCATTCTGATGTTCTAAAGCCATCTGAGCCACAAAGGGAGAGGAATGGAGACAGACGAGTAAGATGGGCTCTGGGGTTTTCTGATAGAGGAAAAAATAAATAGCTGAAAGGACGGCCCAGAAAGATAAAGATGCCAAAGTAAAGCCAACTTGATAAGTTATCTGAAGCAATAGAGTAAAAAGTGAAAGAAAAGAAAAATTAAGAGCAATAAGTAAACGACTTGGGTAAAGGAACCCCCAGGAGGTGAGACAGTAAAAGAGAAAGTTTAAATGAAAGCACTGGGCTAAAGCACCCAGTGTCCTGTCTCAAAGGGCAATGGGACAGGGACGGTGGAGGGGACCTCTCTGCCAAAGACGCAGCAGCCTCTGCAGAAGGGCCGAGAATCCCAAGCTGCCTCCAACAGGAGAGGCTACAGCGAGGAGGTGCAGGGCAAGGACGGGACTTTGGCGGGGGTGCGAGTTCCAGGGACGCGGAGAAGTGGGAGACAGATGATGGGAAAGGGGATGGCGGGAGGCCCCGCACAGGACTAGGGTGGCTCTTGCGCCCCGGGCCGGTCCTGCCTTACCTTCCCTCTCCCGGAGTAACAGAAATGTTCCCGAGCACTTTAGCAAGCCCAGGGCTTAGAGCCAGTGCCCCCCGCGCCCCATCTCACGGAGCCCTCAAGGAGTCTCACGAACGTGGAAGCGTGTTGCCTCCATTTTACGAGTACTGCTTCTGGGGCTCAGAGGGGACGGCCCCTCACCCAAAGTCGCACAGGTATCGGGTCCTCCCCCAGGCCGTGCAGCCAGCAGTACTCCCGCCCAGGGGTCTTCACGCCACTAGGGCCCCCCTCGGGGAGGAGCGGGCCCGAGCCCTTCCCGCTCCCCGCCCCCGAGGGGCGGCCCGGGGGGCGGGCGGAGGAAGTGAGCGCAGCGGGGAGGAATGCGAGCGGGCGGGGCGTGCGGGCCCGGGGCGGCGGGGACTGCCGGCAGGCGGCCGGGACGGCGGGTGCGGCGGGGCCGAGCACGCGCGATGCCTCACTTCACCGTGGTGCCAGTGGACGGGCCGCGGCGCGGCGACTATGACAACCTCGAGGGGCTCAGCTGGGTGGACTACGGGGAGCGCGCCGAGCGGGAGGACTCGGACGGTGAGGGCGCGTTCGGAGCGGGCCGTGGCGGG